AAAAACTTAAAAAAAAAAAAATCCAGCAAAGTATTGCAATGGTAAATCTGCTGCAAAAGATCTCTTGAATATGTTTAAAAGCAAATACATCACTTCAAAAACTAAGGTGCACCTGACCCAAGCCATAGTCTTTTCAGTCACCAATGAATAAGGAAGGTTAGACTAACTGAGCCTTTGAATTATGGTGTTGGACTGTCAGAAGAATGAACAAGTCTATCATGGAAAAAGTACAGTGAGAATGCTCCTTCGAAGCAAGAATAGTGAGCCTTTATGTCATACACTTTATCAGTATGATTATCAGGAGGGACCAATCCCTGAAGAAGAACACCAATGCTTGGTAAAGTGGTGGGTTAATGGTTAAGAGAAGGGCCCCCAATAAGATGGATTCCCACAGTGGCTGCACCAATAAGCTCAAATCGTTACAACAATGGGCTCCAAAGGATTGTAAGGATGGCACCAGATGAACGGTGTTTCCTTTGGTTATACATATGGTCACTGAGTCAGAACTGACTCAACAGCACCTAACGACAGCAACATATTCCCAATAAAGCCTCAATAAATAATTAACCCACATAGTATTTGACCAGGCAATTTTGCAATTGTTTGAGGCACTCTGATGTCTGCACGACATGCCCAAATGTACAGAGGGCAAAGGGGCAAAGTCTAGAAGCTTCCTTGTTTTGCTGGGGTTCCAGGAAAGTGAGGTGGTGTTTCTTGTTATGTGTCTATGAGGAAAAAAGTCAATGTGTTCCATTTAGTTAATGTTAAGACAAACTCAGTGCATGAGAAGCCACAAACCTTCCAGGTTGGTTCAGAGGCTGGTCATTCGTAGTAAATGTATTTACATTTGGGGCAGCAGTAGAGCTAGGTGGGGCTATTAGATGGAAACATCCCATGTCAGGGTAAAATACTGCATTTGGCAACATTTAGAAATACACAGTCAAGCCCACAAGCCACTTTTTGGAAACCCAATATAGAGTTGCTATAAATTGGAACCAACTCAATGGCACTTAACAACAACAACAACAACAAAGAGACAATGATGCCAGAAAATGTCCTTGCCAACCAGGATGAAACAAAATGCCTCACCTGGGAAGGCTCCCTTGCCTGGACGAGTTAGCAGGCCAAGCCTCAACGCTGTTTGCTCTACTCTATAAGAGTAAAAGCTACTACAAGAACAAGTAAGTTGCTCCCCCAGGAGACATCAAGGCAAGTGGTCAGGTCCCCTCAGGGCAAACCTCCTTCTAAGACTATGACTCAGTGGGAATACATACTCTGATTGGTGATCACGCTCGTCACCGATAAGGGGAAGTGAGGGAAAAACAGCAATGAAGCTACGAGCTAACCCCTACAACGTTCAATAGACTCCTCTGAACCCAGGTGGAGACCTGGTCTGCCAGCAGTGTGGCAAGACCTGGGGCCTTTTGAGCCCACAGTCAGTGACATAGCCACAGAGGACTAGAGTGGAGAGTGAAGCATCCAGCTGAGAAGAGAGGGCATATGCATAAGAACACTCACACTTCCAGATAATACCCACTTGACCTGGTTTCAATGACTGGATGATCAGAGCTCAACTAGAAGAAGAAAGAAGAGGGAAAAAAAAGAGTAATTCATATAATTTGATGAACTTGACTTATACCTATGGATGTAGTAGCTCAAAAGAGGGAACAAATCTTTACAGGGGCAATCATTCCCACCCCTCCATACACAGAGTAGACAGGGATGGGCAACTTGGGACATTGGCTACCCAAAATGGGGGGACTACAAAGACAAGAAGTGACTGGCTTACAAGCTGTCAAGAGGGAACCTAGATCCAGAGGGTATGGAGGAAGGTAGAATCTCCACTGAGTACCATCCAATCTGTCTGGGCGGGACTGATGAGAGGAAATGCAGATAGGTCTCTTGTGATACAATACTGAATAATTGTTATCAGAATTGATTGTGAGGGTTGGAAATGTAAAGGTAGACGTTTTGTAGTAAAAGGAGGGGAGTGATTAACTTTTCAGTCTAGGAGCAGAGATCCCTGGGACCATCAAGGGAGAAGAGTGGAGAGCAGGACCCTACCCAGAGAAGCAGTGATGCCAGAGATGGAGGCAGAGACGATGACACAGAGAGATGGAGCAGCTGGGGACTTTAGACACAGAGAGGGAGAGGGGCTGTGTGCTGATAACATGGGGGCAGGCTTGTAGGTATAACCTTTGGTTGGTTGATGATGCATTGAGGGGATTGTAACCTTGGCAATGAAACAATATACGATAGAATGAATGTAAAGCTAATGTTCTCCCATGTAAACTATTACACGAATCCACAATAAAACATTAAAAAAAAGTAAAAGCTGACAGCGTGCCCTGACTCATACATCCAGCCCATGACTCTTCTAGGATTGCTCCCCCTCATTCTAAGTTTGTTCTTCGTAAGCTCTGATTAAGGGTTGTTTTTCCTAAAAGATCAAAGCAGAGGCCAGTTAATGGAAGGGTCAGCAGGGCCCATGAAGGAAGTGAGGGAGGACGGTGCATGAACTCCATCTCTGCCCACAGTATCCTGTCAGGTGGTACCCAGATACTGAGATCTGCAGGGAGCATTCCCCACTCTGACTGCTCCGGAACCAGACTGCCGTTTCCATGCACCCTGACCACATCTTTGAAAAGAGTCCAATAATTAATTCTCTTCCTCTCGCTTGAGAAGAGTTGGCCATCTGTTGTTCTTGGCTTGCACCTGAAGACCATGGTGCCCCCTCCCAGTGTTGCAAATCATGAGCAGGTTCCTCCAGGGCTCCCTCTAAGGTGGTACATCTGTGCACCCTGTGACCACGTGAGATGACCCCACTCTGCCTCCTGCAGCCACGCCGGCCTCCCTCTCATCATCTCCCCAGGATCCCTAGCTGAGGCAGGTATTTGTCTGATCCTGTCTCCTGGAGTTGCCCACAGAAGACGATGATCCTGGAGCAGGCAGGCAAGCCTCCACACTGGCACTGAGTCCTTCCCAGCGCTGCCTAACATGCCTCTCTGCATCTCACATAACCCCCCACCTGGAGCCCCTGCCAACAATTTCCTTCCCCTGCCCTGCTCCTTGTTCTACGTAGCCCACCCCTCCATCCCGTGCAAAACAGCTCTCTCCAGGCCTCAGCTGAGCTTTCTGGGACCACTCTTAGAACCTCTGGGGTTCTCTCTAACATGGTGACTCTTCCTGGTGTCTTACTCTTACTGAAGCTGCTAAGTTCCTTGAGAGGAGGATTGAGTCAGACCACATGTGCTTCCCTGGTGTGTCCACACCAAAGCTGTTCTATCCTGTATGGAGAAGGGAGGCTCATCACCCCAGGCCATTTGCCCCTCACAAGGCCCAGACAGTCTGCCGCTCAGGTTTTGTTTCTCCAGAAGAGGAGATAATTAGTGATTTCAGGTGTCCCTCAGGCTCCTGAGGGCCAGGGTGGCTGCATGCTGACCCTACTTCACAGGGCTATCCCTGACAGCATGCAGAAGGCATTGCAACCTATACACTTTGAAGAGTAAATTGGATCATTAAATCCATGGAAACAGGAGGTAGTTGGGGGGAATTGAGGGTTGAGGGTGGGAGATGGGGAGTGATTGCTAATGAGGACAGGTTTGTCTCGGGGTGATACAAGCTTTCAAGATAGACTGTGGTGGTCATACAGCCATGTGACTATAGGACAGCCCACTGAACTAATCACTTAAGTAGGTGAACTGTATGGAATGTGGATTGTATCTCCAGAAAGCTGTTATAAAAAATAAATGAATCATGTGTTTCATGTAACGTCTATCCATCCATGTATTTACACCACCCAACCATCTACCAACCCAAACGAACAAAATATCCCTGTCTTTATCTTTAGCATGCAGCCTGCACTACTGGGCTTAACAAGCTTCTGTCTTTTCGATTTCAGAAAACTAGATGGAAACGAGCCATTTTCAAAATGATTAACTTGCCTTTCTGCTCCCAGCTGCTCCTTGAATCCACACTCAGAACCTCCCTGGCTCCTTTTCAATGAGATTCACCTAACTGTAAATGTCCACAGGGTAGCTCAAAGGAGCCTGGTGGGAAGAAGTGAGAGACCAGGCAGTTCTAAAAGTCAGCTCAGCCTCACTGACGCTGACCATGCACCAGGTCCGCTGCTCAAGCACTTCATGAGTACAATTTCATCATCCTTGTATTCGACTGATCACCCTAATTTTATGGGGGAGGGGGAGAATTACCAGCTGGTCAAGATCACACAGATTCCACATGGTTTTGCCGGGCTTTGAGACAATCAGTACCTAACTCTGAGCCTAGACCCATGGTTGATGTTGCTCCCCAGGCCCCGTGTCTCCAGCTCCTTCCCAGACCTGGAGAATGCAGAACTCACACGTGACACTTCCAGCTCTCCCCAAAGCCAGAGCCCCAGCATGGGCTGGGCAGTGTCATCTGACCTCCTCCATCAGAGGTGGTCTGAGCCAGGTCATGCTGCCAGAAGCGACAGAGGAGGGCACCCCTGCCTCATGCCCAACAAAGAGACTGAGAGACTCAGGCTACGACACCTCACCTGCCCCCCAAGAGCTCAGAGTTCTGGATGGCTTATAAGTTCTGCCATCAAGAATTTCTCTCACAGCAAGACCTTCAGAACTGCCGAGGACATTTGTCAAAACCCCTGCCTCCTTCAGCAGACCTACAGAACATGGGCCAAGCAGCGCATGAGTCTGCGTTTCCATAGGTGTTCTGACGAACCTACGGAACACTGCCCGCCCGAGCAGATGGGGTGCCCCTGCTCAGTAGTCTGACACATCACCTGGCATGCCAGGTCACCTCAGGCCACCTCAGTCCCTCCTGTAGCCTCCCTGCCTTGGTTCCCCAGACGCTGTCCCTGAGGCTCCTGCCAGGCCTTAGCCCCTGGCAGTGCAGAGTCAGGAGCCTCTGCTGCCCCACATTCAGGCTGGCCTGGCTCGCAGTCCTGCCCTGCTGCTCGGACTGCACCCGTCTTCACCACAACCACCCCACCGGAGTCTTGCCTGCACAGCCCAGAGGTAGTCCAGTCGAAGTTTGAGGTCCACCTGCCTGGAGTGCAGGCCCAGTGCGCAGGAGAAAAGCAGGACGGCCAAGATGGGCTCAAAGCTGTGCAAGGAGATGGCACGGTCCCTGGGGAAAGAAGAGAGATCAGACGTACGGTCTGCACCACAGGAGAGGCTCAGGGGATGCCCAGACCACAACCTGGACCCAAAAGGGACACAAAGACCATCCAGGGGTAGAGCCAGGAAGTCTAGGCCCAGATAGAATCTGGGCTGAAAGGAATGAGTGGAAACGCCATAAAAGCTAAAAACAAAAGTCTCACAAGTGCTTCTGAGCTCTGTGGGCTGCACTCACCTGGCTGTTTCAGAAGGCCTACTGAGCCCCAGCATGAGGACAGACAGGGTGGTGAGCACCAGCAGGAGGAGCATCTTGGGCCAGGAGGGGACACGCAGGAAGGTGGAAAGCGTGAGAGTACCCACGAGACAGCAGAGAAGAGCCTGGGGCACAGACGTGCAGGGCGGGCTGAGAATCCCCTTGTTGTGGTCTCCGGGAACGAGGACCACCTGGGAGCTGTTAGGACTCGTGCTCCAGGCCCAAGGCATGCAGCCCACCTGGGCGGAGGAAAATAAGTGGGCAATGTGGGAAAGGAAGGGCAGCGGAGTCCACTGTGCCCTCCAGTCTCCCCTGGCCCTGGCCAATTCAAAGCTCCATAAAGGCTGTGCATGCGACTGTCTAAGGTAGAAGCAACCAGGCCCACCATCCCTCTTCCCACTAAGTTACACCTTGTCCCTAACACACCCAGCTTCTGCTCTCGGCAGATCTGAGGCGACAGTATCCTCACCTGTCAAATAAAGCCTCTCCCCTCCAAGACTGGTCACGGGCATCTGTTGACTTCTTCCATTTGCCCCTCAAGTTTCCACCCACCCTTCTAGACTAGGTACACTGAGGGGACCTTTGTGTAAACCCAGGCCTTTCCTCACGCTGGATAGTTTTAAAGCTACAGCCCAACTCCAGCTCATTGTGAAATGTACTTACCATACATCCTTGGGCCACTGAGTAGATTAAGATCACGATGAAAATACACAAAGTGGTACGGATCTGAATCGTCAGGCACCCTGGAAAACACTGACCAATAAAATGTTACTCTTAAAAATATCACTTTATTACAAAATTGATTCATGTACAAAGTAAAGAATTCACACTATAAGGAAGTATAGAAAGTACTCTGAATGCTACAAACTTCTCGCCGTTAACAGTCATCGCCTACAATCATTTCTTGGTTGTTTTCATGTGTTGATTCTCCCAGGTGAAAAGCTTACCAGCAACAACAAAACAATTGAGTACTTTAAATGAAAAAAGAACCCTCCCCACTTCTCCACACTGGAAGTTTGATTGGCACTGGAATTTACTGAATTCGTTGGGGGAATTCTGACATTTTTATAATATTTCCATTGATCTGTGTCATCATTAATATGATGTAATTACATTTGATTTCTTATTCATACAGTTCTTATTAAGTTATTCTTAGAAATTTTAAACTTAGTTACTTTTAATACATTTCAGGATATCCAACAACAAGCAATATTACAGATCAAGTTCATAAATCCTTTCTACATTCACATTCCTGAAATGAGAAGTGAAAACAACCCGAAATACACACAGGGCCCTCATGGGAGAAAAGAGAAATTAGCATTGATATCAGAGGCTGGGAGGCAGAACTTTTCTGAGCAACCCAGCAGGACTGAACCTTTGACTCCCAGTCTTGCGGGGTCAGCACAGCTTAGCATGAAGGGAAAGGGACTCCTGGGGTTACCAAGCCCAACGTCACTAACTTATGGATGAAGAAACAGTGATTTGTCTTAATCAGGCAGCTAGCGAGTTACGTAACCTAGGCCACCTAGGTCTTCATACTCTTCTATCTCAGAAACACCAGCTCCCCAAATCTACTGCAGGGGTCGAGATTTAATTCATTAATGGAATGCATTCATTTCATCCTCACTTCATCTCTGACTCGGTCCACGGTAGTCATGTTATTCTCATCTCCAGTTAGACGGGACATAACCACAGCTCTTTCATCTGTTCCACAAACACTGGTGAAGAGCCAGGAAAAAGTCACTATCATAGTTATCCACTCCTCTTCCTCACTGCTCTCAGGTTGATTCCAACGCACACAGGCTCAATGCAGTGTTCCCGAGGCTATAAATCTTTATGAGAGCAGAAAGACTCAGCTTTCTCCTGCAGAGTGTCTGGTGAGTTTGAAGTGCCAAACTTGTGGTTAATAATCCAGAGCTTATTCTATAGCACTGCCAGGGCTCCTACTCAGTGTCACAAGTGGTGGTTTTAATAACCAATTTTATTTTCTCACAATTTAGGAAACTATAGCAGGTAAAGGTTTTTTCTATTGATTCTGGAGGAAAGGTCTCGTGTCCTCTCTACATCTGTGGACCCAGTGTCCCTTGCAGAGCTCCATGCAGGTTGGCATTGCTCTTCCCCACTTCTGCACGCTTCTTATTGTTGTAGGTGCCATGAGTCAGTTCCAATGCATAGCGACCCCGTGCACAACAGAATGAAATACTGCCCGGCCCTGTACCAGTCTCACAATTGTCTGTTTGGGCCCATTGTTACTGCCACTGTGTCAGTCCATCTCATTAGGTGTCATCCTCTTTTTCACTGACCCTCCACTTTATCAAGCATGATGTCCTTCTACAGGGACTGGTCCCTCCTGATAATATATCCAGAGAACAAATGATGAGTCTTGCCATCCTAGCTTCTAAGGAACATTCTGGCTATATTTCTTCCATCACATATTTACTTTTCCTTCTGGCAATCCAAGATATTTTCAATACTCTTTCCCAACCATAACTCAAATGCATTCATTCTTCTATGATCTTCCTTACTCATTGTCCAATTTTCACATGAATATGAAGGGATTGAAAATACCATGGCTTGGGTCCGGTCTACCTTTGTCCTCAAAGTGACATTTTTGCTCTTTAGCACTTTAAAGAGGTCTTTTGCAGCACATTTGCCTTATGCAACACGTCATTTGAGTGTTTGCTGCTTCCATGAGCACTGATTGAGAATCAATTTAAATGAACTCTTTGACAGCTTTTTAATCTTTTCTCCATTTATCATGACATTATTAATGGATCTGTTGTTGTTGTTGTTGTTATGTGCCGTGGAGTCGGTTCCGACTCATAGCAACCCTTTACAGGGTTTCCGAGGCTATAAATCTTTACAGGAACACAAAACCTCATCTTTTTCCCACAGAACAGCTGGTAGTTTCAAACTGCTGACCTTGTGGTTCGCAGCCCGATTTGTAACCACTACGCTACCAGAGCTCTTTATTAATGGATCTAGTTGTGAGGATTTTCATTTTTCTTTACATTGAGGTGAATCCACACTGAAGTTTATAGTCGTTGATCTTTACCCATAAGTATTTTAGGTTCTCTTTGCTTTTGGCTAGCAAGGTTGTGCCATCTGTATATTGCAGGTTTTCAGTGAGTCCTCCAACCCTGATGTGACCTTCTTCGTACAATCCAACTTCTCAGATTATTTACTCAGTAGACAGATAGAATAGTATGGTGAAAGGATACAGTCCTGGTGCACACCTTTCCTGATTTAAAACCATTCCGTGTCCCCTTGTTCTGTTCTAACAACAGCCTCATGGTCTATGTACAGGTTCCTCATGATCACAATGAAGTATTCTAGAATATCCATTCTTCGTAATATTGTCCATAGTTTGTTATGATCCACAGAGTTGAATGTCTTTGTCAATAAAGCACAAGTGGTATTCTCTGCTTTCAGCCAAGATTCACCTAATATCAGCAACAATATCCCATATCCGACATCCTCCTCTGAATCTGTCTTGACTTTCTGGCAGCGTCCTATCAATGTACTCCCACAATCGTTTTTTAATTATTTTCAGCAAAAATGTACTTGCATGTGATACGAACGATATTATCAGAATATTTCTTCATTCTGTTGGGTCACTCTTCTTGGAATGAGCAGAAATATGGATCTGTTACATTCAGTTGGTCAGGTCTCCCATATTTCTTGATGTAGACAGGTGAGTGTCCCCAGTGCTGCATGTTTGTTGGAAGATTTCTATTCGTATTCCATCAATTCCTGGAGTCTTGTCTTCTACCAATGCTTTAAGTGCTGCTTGGACTTCTTCCTTCAATACCATTGATTCTTGACCGTATGGTACTTTAAAAAAAAACAAAACAAAACCTAAACATGTTCCATTCCTTTATTATCCATGCAAATCCCAGAGGGGGGCGGGGGGGAGAAACAGGCCAAGAGAAGGCAGTTACGTTGGACTGGCACTGGTTGACACAAATCACTGATAATTTGGCCCATTCTCTTAAGAGGAATTTTCAACAACTACTTGTATGAGCACTAGCTGATGTTAGTCCCCAGGCATCCAGGCAAGAAAGAAAACCTGGCTACTGGGACATATGTCCTGATGCTCGCTCCCTAGTGCCTCACAGTTCTTTCCTCACTAAACACCTTCATCTGAGAGAGGTAAGGCGGAGGTATGGGCAGTAAAAGCACAGAGACCCAGTTCCCTGGCCTATGGGCTGGGGACTGTACTTTCCCACTCCAGCCTGAGACATGGAAATGAATAATACAGTGATTCTCAAAACTCGGGAGACACTGGTTATCTGAGGATCTTTTTTGTTGTTGGGAAGGTAAGTCAGTAATACAAGAAACAGTGGCAAGAGGCCCTCTGGTTTGGGGGCGGATAAGCAGAGACAGATACTGAAAGCTCGTCTGCTGAAACCATTAAAAAAAAAAAAAAAATGGCAGAGAAAGAGTGGTCCGCAGAACAGCTGGGGAGCTTTGGATCTTGTTTAAGGTTTCAGGCGCCAGTTTCCCATGACCACCTGTGAAGAAATCTGCCTGTGGAAGCAAAATATAGTGACTTCTGAATACATCCAGCCGTGGCGGCCAGCAACCAGAAGTCCTCAGGCCAGATGGTGGGGTCATAGCCAGGTGGAGGCAGTGACCCAGCACTAGAAATCGCAGAGCTGTGCGTCTGGAAGGAGAGGTGTGACTGATTTTTCATCTTCCACGTTTCATTTTTCACTTATCTTTCCTCTTCACTCCAATCGTACCTTCACTGCCCAGCCCAGACACCTTCAGGTGGGCGGGAGCACACCCCCAAAAGAGTCCATCATTGCACCTACAGTTTTCCAATGACACAGAGAGGAAATCCACAGGCTACTTCTTATGACATCTGACTCTGGGACCCAGCCCCAAAGGTGACCTGGGTGGGATCCTTTATCCCTGCCTGCACAGCAAAGGCCAGTGGACAGTGTCAATCAGTTTTATTTTTGTTTTTGATTGGTGGTTTCTGTCTCTGCTTTTATATTGTTTCTGTCTTTGGTCCTTTTGACCTCACTCTTCTCCCAGGGGTTGGAGCTTTCTCCCCCTACCTTACCAAGCAGAGACAGCAACCGTGCCCATATAGCCAAGCTAAGCATATCCTGTAATAACCCACCATCTGGACAAGAGCCAAAACAAGCTGCTTGGCATTACACGTGAAAAGCAAAGCCTATCTCCAGATCATATCCACCAGGAGATGCTCAGCAAGCTTAACAAAAAGCAACATACATCCATTTAAGCATTAAAAACCCACATAACTGCTGAAAATGTCCAAGAAAACACAATTAAAGATCTCAACACATGTCCCAAAACAGAAAAAAGTAGCTGAGACAAATGAGCTGGAAGCAGACACAGACTTTCCAGTAGAAGAGTAGGCTCTGGATCTGCCTAAGAAGGAATTCAGAAGAATGACATGGAAACAAATTCAAATGCTCCAAAAAGGAGTGGAAGAAAATAAGGAAGAAGTCAAGAAAGTGCTACAGGAGCAATCAGACAAGATAGATATGGTATTGGAAACAATTCAAACCCTGCAAAAAGAAGTCCAAATGATTAATAATGAAATATCAGAAATGGACAATACACTGAAAGGGAAAAGGGGTAAAATGGAAGAGATGGAATCCAGAACCAGCAAGCTGGAAGACAAATCTCTCAATACTGCTAAGATAGAAGAGCAAGCAGAGAAAAAGGACTAAAAAATCTGAAGAGAGTTGAAGATTCATGTTGGTTAACATGAAGAG